TCCCAGGTGACAAGAAGGGAGCTGGATGGGACGTGGAGCAGCTGGTACAGGAACTAGCGCCCATAAGGGATCCTGGCACTTGAAAATGAAGATTTAGCCACTAGGTGATTGTACCAGGCCCTGCCATGCATCTTTGCATCCTGATATTCTAGTCCCCATTATAACATTAATTTATGAGAATATATGTGTATACTTGATTACTTATACATCTTTTTGTCTTGTATTTTGATGAAAGTTGTCTTGTATCAGAGATCACACGATATTTGTCCTTTTGGGACTGGCTTATTTCACTGAACATAATGGTCTCTAGCTGGGACCATCTTGTTGCAAATGGAGATTTTCATTCTTTTTAATGGCTGAGTAGTAATCCATGCAGTCGATGTACTCAATTTCTTTATCCTTTCCTCTTTTGGTGAGCATCTGGGTTGTTTTCATGTCTTTGCTATTGTGGATTGTGCTGCTATAAATATAAGGTTGCAGGTCACTTTCTCATATGCAGATTTCATTTCCTTTGAATATATGTATTTTAAATGTTTTCTATACAAAATATTGATATGTTTAATCAACTATTGTTTTATTATTCTCTTTCACAATTTTTATATGCCTTATGATTCACCAACCTACAGCAACTTGATACATACTGCAGGTTTTGTACAAATGCACTTTCTAAACTCACATGTACAGCAGTATTAGTCACAATAGCCAAAAAGTAGAAGCAACCCAACTTTTCGTTTACAAATGCATGGATAAACAGAATGTAGTGTATACATAGACTAGAACATGTTCAGCCTTCACAATAAGGTCCTGCCGACACCTGCTACATTATGGGTGAATATCGAGGATGTTGTGATGAGTGAGATCAGTCAGTCAGAGAGAGGCAAACAATGCAGGATTCCACTTAAGTGAAATGCCTGGAGCAGTGGAATTCATTCACATGAAAAGCAGAGTGGAGGCTGAAATTGTTGGGGTGGGGAGGACTAGAGAGTTGTTGCTTAATGAGCAAAGGGTCTTAGTTTTGCAGGATTAAAAGAGCTCTAGAGATTGGATGCACAAAATGTGAGTGTACTTAACACAACTGGACTGTGTACTGAGATGATACATTTTACGTTAATTGTAGTCTACCACAATTAAAGTTGTTTTTGGATGGACACTTTGACCAGTCGATCATGGGAATAACTATGTCTCACAAAAACTCCTTCAGAAAGAAAAAACTTGCTTATTCTGAAGTTTAAAAACCTTGATTGTAAGTATTAGCAATATTAAATGTCCCGTTAGTGCTTTCTGTCAGTTTTACGATGAAGAGTTAAGAATTCTCTTGGAATGATTTCCTAACCTGGGATCCATAGGATTTTAAACCTCAAAGAGTTAACAAGCTCCTGAGAGAGACTGTGTGCAAAATGCATAGGTATTCACATATGTATTTTCCCCCCAGAGGGAGATTTAATGGCTTACTTATATCAAATTCCAAATTCATGTGAACCTAAAAGAAACCAATAACCGTTGTTCTACAGAAATGAAGATGTTCTAGGGCTGTTGTGGCATATGGTGTTAAGCCCTTGCCTACAACCCTGGTGTCTCATTGGATGCCTATTGTGATCCCAGCTAGTCCACTTCCAGTCCAGCTCCCTGCTAACGTGCCTGGGAAAGCAGTAGAAGATTGTTGAAGTCCTTGGGTCCTTGCACCCATGTGGGAGACCTGGAAGAAGCTCCTGGCTCCTACTTTGACCTAGGCCTGCCTCAAGCCATTGTAGCCATTTGGTAAGTGAACCAGCAAATAGAATATATTTCCCTCTCTCCCTTCCTTTTTTTTTTATCTCTCTCTCTCCCTCTGTTTTTCTGTAACTCTTTCAATAAAAATAAATCTTTAAAAAAAAAAACAAAAATATTCCAAAGTGGCAGCTTCCCCAGCACTGTGAGGACAGTACTGAGCGGCTTGAGCAGTCCGTGGAAGCAGCAGACTAAAACCTAAGCTACGATGACTTTTGGCAGTCCAACCTGAACAACATGACCACCTGTCAGATATGTCACAAATGAAATTTCCTAACTGAGCAATGATGTGCATGGCCTGTCTATCCTTGCATGCTCTGAAGTGAGCCCAGTCAGGGTTGGTGCTGCTAGGGGGCTTTCAGCAAGGTGTGAATCACCAAGCAGCATTTCCAAGAGTGTTCAGTAATGACTGATGAGGAAAGAATTAGTGTCAATCTGTAACCAGTGAGATAGGCTCTAAATCATAACTAACAAGCATGGCTAAAGTCAGCTTAAAATTAATCACAGGGAGAAGGCAAATGGGGAAGGTGTAGAAGGGGGAATCCCTGAGTCTATGGAAATAAATCATGAAAAAAAAATTAAAATATAGGGCCCAGCGCAATGGCTTCAGTGGCTAATACCTTGCCTTGCAAGTACCGGGATCCCACATGAGTGCTAGTTGATGTCCTGGATGCTCTATTTCCCATCTTGTGGCTACTTTCCCTACTTGTGGCCTGGGAAAGCTGTAGAGGATGGCCCAAAGCGTTGAGACCCTGTACCCACGTTGGAGATCCAGAAGAAGTTCCTAGCTCCTGGCTTCGGATCAGCTCCGGCTATTGTGACCATTTGCAGAATGATCCAGTGAATGGAAGGTCTTGCTCCTTATACCTCCTTTTCTCTGTAAATTTGACTTTATAATTTAAACAACAAAATCTTTAAAAAATAAAATATGAATAAATATAAAGTAAAAAATAAACTTAATCACAGACTTCCTCTGGTAGCACGCAGTCTCAGTGATGGACTTGCAGTGAGGAAGACAGTGTAACAATTAGGTCTCCAGGACTGTTGTGACTCCACAGGTAGTGACACCAACATCCCACATCAGGGGTACTGGTTCCAGTCCTGGCTGCTCCATTTCTCAACCCAACTCCCATATGGTGCACATGGAAGGCAGCAGGTGATGGCCCAAGTATTTGGGTTCCTGCCAAAACAAGTAGGTCACCTGGATGGAGTCTTTAACTCTTGGCTTCAACCTGGCCCAGCCCTGGGTGTCATGGGCATCTGGATATATGGAGGATGGTGGTAGGTTCATGGCGGGTATGACAGGAACCAATCCTTGAGCCATCACAATTGCTTCCCATCATTAGAAAGCTGAACTCAGGAGCCAGAGGTGTGCATTGAACTTAGCACTCTCAGACAGAATGTGGGCACCTTGGCCAATATTCTAACAGGTAGGCCAAATACCTACCCTAAAAGCATTTTTTAAATTGTTTAAATAAGACAAAATAATACTTGAAAAACTGATTGATACTAATGTGTTTCTAATGCTAATTAGGACTTTAAAAAAGAACCCAGTATGAATCTCCCAAATAATTTTGATTTCAATATATTGTGCAAGATTATAAAAGGTGGACTACTCAAGTCATCCTGACAAGTTGTAGAACAAAGAACTGTGGCTTGCAGAGAGTCATATGATAAAGCTGTCACACAAGTCAAAGCTGGAAATGCCTTTAAACAATAGGATCATTCCACTGAGATCTAGCAACACAGGATAAGGGTAGCAAAAGAAATATAGGATGAACCAAACCAGTTTTGAACATATTGTAACTGCAGAATGCTGACAAACAGCATCTTTAGAGGGCAGAAAAATGTGACAGTGCCACTATTTCTACCTTTGCATCTTTTCCAAAAAAACAGCATGCTTAAGTCTTTATTTTCTAGTAGTATTGGTCCTGATTTAATTAGCAGAGTACCAGAATACCTTCTTTCCCACCTGGCCCCTCCTTCCTGTCTCCCTTGTTTGTACGTGGAGTTCATGCATCATTGGTCAGCATGCTAGCAGCATCAGCTGTCAGTGGTAAGCAAGTATACATTGTGTGATACCCTCACTTTTTTTTTTTAAGATTTATTTTTATTGGAACGTTAGATATACAGAGAGGAGAAAAGACAGAGAGGAAGATCTTCTGTCTGTCAACTCACTCCCCAAGCAGCCACAATGGCCAGAGCTGAGCCAATCCAAACCCAGGAGCCAGGAACTTCTGCCTGCTCTCCCGGCTTTGGGCCGTTCTTGACTGCTTTCCCAGGCCACAGCAGAGAGCTGGATGGGAAGTTGGGCCACTGGGAATAGAACCGGTGCCCATATGGGATCCCGGTGCACACAAGGGGAAGACTTTAGCCATTAGGCTACTGCGCCAAGCCCAATGCCTTCACTTTCTACTTTAAACTTATCTTTTGCCATCTACACAACCTCTGGTTGGTTGTTCATTATCATTCTGTAAAATTAAGACATGTCAACACCAAACCCCTTATTCTACCATTCTGCCTTGTAGACTTTTTTCTGGAAATTAGACTCTGAAATTTCCATATTCTAACTCCTCCAGCAGGAACACCAAATCTACCACTGTGATTAAAGGTCAGCCCCAACACACATAAAAGAAGAGTACAGTGGCTGAGGAAGGACTGATTCTGGACTTTGTGCTTTACAGCTAAGAAAGACTCAGAGTGTGTGGGGACTTGGGGGCTTCAGTGTAACTCTAGTGTGACTTCATGGGTCATCCTAGAAAACTCATCTAATGGATAAAGCAAGAATGTGCCCAATACTGGGATACTTTCAAAAAGCCACGGAAAATGGAGTTAGAAGTTCAACTTATTTGGGTGCAAAAAATTGTGAAATCCCTGTGTATAATTACATGGCAAGGGTGGATGGTTAGCCTAGTGGTTAAGACTCTAGTTATGGTGCTCTAGTCACATTTTGGAGTGCCCGAGTTCCATGCCTGATTCCAGTCATTTGCTATATCAGACCAGGCAGCAGATGATGGCTCAAATAATTTGGTTCCTGACATCCATGTGAGAAAGCTGGATTGAATTCCTGATTCCCCACTTTAGCCTGATCAAGCACTGGCTGTTACTGAAAATACATGTCATTTTTTAAAAAGTATGCATGATTTTTTAAATGCTTCCAGATAAACATCTTATTCACAAATTTTTCAGTCCTTCATATAACATTAGTTCTTTTTTTTCCCATACAACAGTACTTCTAAGAGAAATTACTTCCCAGTAATAGCTTAGTTTAGATGATCCTTTGGAAAAGAATCCTTTCATTATTTTGAAAAGTGAATTTGGGGTAGCGAATCCCTTTGTGAAAACTCACTTGAATGGACAGGACTTCTTATTTTTCAATAATTCACATTACCAAAAAAAATTTATTCTAGTGATGTGAGACCGATGCTTTGTTTTGGGAAAAAAAAACCCGCTAATATGGAGAAATGTATTATAAATGTACTTTAAAATTGATGAACAGGCAAATACCATAGGACAGACTTCAAGTTATCAGTGAAAAACTAAAATAAGCAAACCTTTATCTTTCTAGATTAGAAATAAATTGGGTCAGATTTTTCTGCAGAGTGCAGGGATTAAAGGCCATTTATAATCATTCCTCATTTCCATCCCTCAGTCAGTCAGCCCTATTTTCTACCACATCTTTGGCTGCTGCTGTAACTTCCCATTCTCATCACTGCCAACCCAACAACCAACTCCATCCAGCCCAGCTGCTCTCACAACCTGCTAATTGAATAGTTATGATGGCCTTTTTATCCATCTATTCAAACCCACTCCTTTGGCACACTCATAACTAGGATTTTTCCATTGCAGCTTTAAATGTGCTAATTTTCATATTGAAAATTGTTGTACTCATCCATAAGATGCAAAGAATTTGCCAGCTGAGATATTGGGACTGTGTTGATTGATTGCTATTTCTTAAATGGTGCCTCTGAGCAGCAAAACTTCATAGTATAATTAATTGAGCAGATGCATTTATAGCACATTAATTGAGGTTACGCATTTATATCACACATTGCATGATCCCATCAAATATGTCTAGAATGTATTCCTAGCTGGCCATCCTATGCCCTGTGCCTCCCTTCCTGTTTCCTCCTCCCACCCCCTTTACTTATTTCCCCTGGTAACTCTAGAAGCTACCAGGGTACTTCAAAAACTGTGGAAAATATGTATCATGAAAACCCTATGCATGATTAAAATGCTTTGCACCAAAATAAACTTGTAATTCCTTTTTCCCCTATGAATGTGTCAAAGTATTCTTAAAGATGAATACTTTCTTGAAGTAAATTCCGAAGCTGTATGAGTTGCTCTAGTCAACATTTATTGAACATCTGCTCTGGGTCAGGGATCCAGCTAGGCCCCGAGGACACGAAAAGAGACACATCATATAATCCACAGGAACCCTGGGTGCAGTGGTCTCATCATTGGTTTCTTTTTGAGTCAAAGCTGGTTTTGGAGCCCTTCTCTGCCCCAGTTTCTGTGTTTAAAAGTTTTGAGTTCAAGGCTCCACATTCTAGTGAGTTCTCTGGAGGATCCTAATGCAGGTGGTCCAATAAGAGTGCCACGTTCAGTATTGACTGAACTTTTTACACCTGTGCTTTTACTTTTGTGCCATTTACTCATTGCATTGTTATTGTTTTAAAGCAATTTAATGGAAAATGTTAGGAGGTCATGACAAAAGGGTCAAAGAAAATGATATCATGAAATAGCTATGCATGGATTCACACACTTTTTGCAAGAAAATAAATTTGCTTTTTAAAAAATATTTATTTATTTTTATTGCAAAGTAAGATACATACAGAGAAAAGGAGAGAGAGAGAGAGGAAGATCTTCCATCCAATAATTCACTCCCCAAGTGACTGCAATGGTTAGAGCTAAGCCAGTCCAAACCCAGGAGCCTCTTTCTGGCCTCCCATGTGGGTGCAAGGTCCCAATACTTTGGGTTGTCCTTTTTTGCTTTCGTAGGCCATAAGCAGGGAGCTGTATGGGAATCCAGGTTGCTGGGATTAGAACCAGTACCTATATGAGATCCTGGCGCGTGCAAGGCAAGGACTTTAGCTGCTAGGCCACTGCACCAGGCCTTGAATTGACTTTTAATTCTTTTCCTGTGCCTCTTTTGAGACACCCTCATACTTAGTGTCCTTTTTGTTACATATAAATTTTCCTCATTATTATTTTAAAATAAGAAATCTGATCATCAGATTACCAATTAAGCATGTCAGTGTTTGAATTATGAGTACTGTGTAAAAAAATCTAGATATTTATTATACATTTTCCTTACTTTTCCACCACAGTTAAAATCATAAAGGAAATACCTCCTAACAGCATTACAATAATGTATTTGCTTTATAACAGTTCACATTTCAAAGTTTGCTACCCAAAATGTTTGCTATTTTCTTTAAACTTTTCCTGTAGTCAACGACTCCTGCTTCCACAGAGCAAACATTTAGTTATTTAAGTCTAATTTAAGACCAAAATTATGACTTACTTGGGATGCGGCTCATTCTCATATACCTACTACTTTGATTATGAAAGTAAATTTTCACAAATCAAAACAAGAAATAAGTTCACCAAGTAAGACTTTAGAGGCATATTCCCACAGACGAAACTTGGCGCTTTTCTCACTCATGCTTAATAAGAGCTAGCAAAATCCCTCCACCCTCCATCTTGTTGAACTCTTTGATAACACACTGCAATCTGTCCTAGAACTGGCTGATCCTGACCCCCAGGCTACTTCCCTCACACATTAATCTCCTCCCCCTTGTTTTTAATTTCAGCTGCAAATCTGTTTATTCTTCTAGAGCAAATTAAAGGGATGCTCCAGCTCACCCTACAGAGAGGAAATGCCTTCTTCTCCTGTGTTGGCATCTCTATAACCTCTTATCCATGCAGATGGTGAGATAGGGGAAAAGAGAAGAAATGCAGAGAAAAATGCATAGACTTGCAACAAGCCAAGTGAGCATGTTAATCTTTAGGGAATATCAAAAAAAAAAGTTCTTATGGGTTTGATGCGTTCTTTTCTTCTTTTTTACAATAAGATTCAGTTATTTACTCGAAAGGCAGAGTTGGGTGAGATGGAGGGGCAGAGAAAGACAGAATCTTCCATCCACTGTTTAACTCCCCAAACGGGCACAGCAGGAAGGGTTAGGCCAGGCTAAAATTAGGAGTTTGGAACTCCATTTGGGTCTCCCCCATAGCTGGCATATGCCCTGGCACCTTGGCCATCTTCTGCTGCTTTCCCAGATACATTAGTAGGAAGTTGGATTGGAAGTAGAGCATACCGAACTTGAGCTGGTGTCCATATGGGGGTGCCAGCTTTGCAGAGGGTGACTTAACATGCTGTGCCACAGGCCCCTGATTTGCACTATGTAGCAGGAGGAAATTATCCATCTGACACTTAAATAAAATGAGAAAGTCCCACCGTATCTCTCTTAAAGCCCTAAAATCTAACAAATAGCAATCATTTGCAGGTGTTAGCCATAAGCTCCAGCAAAAAGAAATCTAAGACAGTTTCTTAGAAAATGAATAGCAATGATTTCTCAGAAACAATATACATCCTTGTATGAAAAAAGAAAAATATGTATTTCACAGTACCCAGTGGAAGAAAAGATACACTTAAATGTTGATTTTATTCATGGATTATGCTCTGTACTGGAGTGATTTTCTTAGTGTCTGGTGGTGTTCTGTTGGGGAAAGGATGTTTGCAGCTGCAGAAAGTGTTTCATCCTTTCCCTACTAAGGACTGGAAGAATTTCACAAATTCAGTCTCTACTGACAGCAAATACATGATAATGCATTGCAGGGAAATTTTGCTGCTGATTCCAACTTGCAGCCACAGACGTTCTGCATTTGAATTGAGTAAAAGAAACTGTTGGTTTAGAGAGCAGAGAATGAGCAAAGTGATGACTCATGAATGGTTACCAAGAGCTTGCACTGCTGCCCCCGCTACTTTTCCTTAAATGAAAAAACGGAATTTTCCTACATAGTTACTTACTTGAAAGGCAGAGACAGCGACATACAGAGATAGAGACAGAGACATAGAGATAGGCAGACACAACCACACACACACACATTCACAGAGTTGAACAGATAAAGAGAACGTTCTCATCCATTGGCTCATTTCCCAAATGCCCCCCAACAGCCAGGCATGAGCCAAGCCACACAGGAACTCAGTCTGGGTCTCCCACTCTTCATGGAACCTTTTTTACTCAACCATAAAAATGTAATCCATAATACAGTAAGTAATAAATTCTCAACTTTGCTCAAATGTAAAAACAGCAATCACAAGATTTCCTAAGATTGATGTGCAGGGCTGCATTCAAGACTGAAGCGTAGGGTTGCTGTTTACAGTCGGGCCAGTTGTATAAGCCACAACCTGCACCACCACATGTGACAGTTCTGGTTGTTCAGACTTATTTTCCTACACTTCTGGAATGTTGTGTTTTGGATTAATATGAATAGAGACAAGAGAAGGATATTTCTTCAGTAGTGAGCCCCAACTATGCCCTTCACACATTGGCTTTTACCATATTATAACATGGGAAAATGTCCAATATGCTAAGACAAGGGCAATTACAATGTGAAAGCAGCAAATCATTTACAAAATAAAACCCAGGACATGGCACAGTAGCCTAGTGGCTAAAGTCCTCTCCTTGACTGCACTATGCACTTGAATGCACTATGGGTGTCAGTTCATATTCCGGCAGCCTCGCTTCCTATCCAGCTCCCTGCTTGTGGCCTAGGAAAGCAACAAAGGATAGCACAAAGTCTAGGGACCCTGCACCCATGTGGGAGACCTGGAAGAAGCTCCTGGCTCCTGGCTTCAGATCGGCTCAGCTCTGGCCATTGCAGCCACTTGGGGAGTGAATCAACAGCAGATAGAAGATCTTTATCTCTCCTCCTCTGTGTATATATGACTTTCCAATAAAAATAAAATTTTAAAAAAATGAATAGGTATCATAGAGACATGTTTTATGACAGTAAAGACACAAGAGTTTTGGTAGCTTTGGTGAGGTTATGAAGTCCCAGCAGGATTGTCCTCTTGAAGTATATCTTTCAGTCACTCCTAGTATTGCTATATCAAAGCATGACTGCTGGCCTTATGCATTCGATTTATGTTGGCATATGGTTGAGTTCACAGACTGCTTTATTTAACCAAATGTGTGATTACTAATACTATATAAATGAACACCTGAAGAAGAGATTTTAA